ATTCCTATTCCTATTCCTATTCCTATTCTATTCTGGGCTCTCTCACTGGCTTTTCTGAAAATATACCCTGCTCACCCAAAGCCTCCATCAGAATAACCTGAGGAAAGGAGGACAGGAGAAGGTTGGATGTCTTTCTAACCTTTTGCCAGAACCTCCACAGGTTGTTTGGGGGGGGGGGGTGTCTCAGAAAAGCGAGCTGATTGACCTTAAACAGCGTTTCTCAACTCCGGCAACTTTAAAAGGTCGTTTAGACTATTTCCCCTCCCCTAACTTTGACAACTTTGCTGGACATCTGGGAGAATTCTGGGAGTTGAAATCCAGAGATCTTAAAAGTTGTCCAGGTTGGGAGGGGGAGAGAGAGAATGACCCAAACAGCTTTTTAAAGCTGGGGGCAGAAGGGAATCTCTCTTTTGCGTCCCCTGGGGAAAGGTGCAACGGCAAGAGACAAATTGAGGATGCTCCATCCTGTAGGGTCTGCGATTCCAGGCCACCACTGCTCAGGCAGACATGCCTCCCCCATCGCTGAACTCCAGTGTCTTGCTCTAGTTTAATAAAATGTGCCTTGTGCAATCCTTACCATTTGTCTCTACTGCATTGATGCATTTCCGGACAAATCTGAAGCCAATCTCGTTCAGTTCCACTGTTGCAAAACAAAAACAAAAGGCAGAGAAAATTATCCCTCGGTAACCTCCAGAAAAGCAAGTAAGAGCATGTTTATTTTGCTCCCCCTGAAGACGCGATGCTGCTTTTATGCAGCCAGCATCTGCTTGCACATGCAGGCAAGGAAGAAACAGGGGAATTCCTTCCAACTGAGGGTGAATTATGGAACAGCTCTGATATCCAATGAGGCAGGAGCTCTGAATAAGGTCAGGTCAAGAAGCAAGAAGAGGCCTCAGGTTTAATCCTGTCCTTCTACAGGTATGGCCAGGCCCAAATCTGTGGGGAAAAAACTCCTGCCAGTCAGAGCGAGCAATGTAAAACATGCTGGGCTAAGAACCTGACTTATTCTAAGTCCTGGTGGTTATGCTAGGAGAAAGCAGGTGATTCCAGATCCCATGAGACAAAATGACTGTTAGAAACTTTTTTGTGCAGCGGCAGCCAAAAAAGCCAATTCAATCCTAAATTGCATTAATAGAGGGATACAATCAAGATCAAGGGAGGTACTAATACCACTCTATAAAGCC